ACATTACATGTACATGTGCTTCAAGTACTTCCGTATATTTAAAAAACGCACGAGTTCTATGATCATTGTTTACGTCAAATCCCTCATTCCAAATATAAAAATGAAAATTTCGAAAATCAAAACTAACAAGGAGCTTCTCCAGGTGTCAAATAGCTTTTTGGTCGAGACAGTGTTAGTTTGATGAATAGTACGGAGTGCAAAAAAAACTACCCCATTGAGATTAAAATGTAACTAAATATCTGTTTATAATTATAAATGAACTAAATTATATACCAACAGTAACAATAGTGAATGTGCGAATATACAATATATACAACAACAATTTAATACAATCTTACAATTGAAAAATTTAAATCAAACAATAGTCACTATTTTTTCACCCTGTGTTGATCTATTTCCCATCGTAATGATCGTCTTTGAGCTCAAAAACTAAATAACTTCTCCACATATTCTTTGCTGAATTATATACAGGAAGATGCAGTTTTTAACCGGCTTTCTCCTGATCCAAAAAGGTTTTGAGGAGAGAATTGCTCTGGTATACTTTCAGAGCAAAAATATAAAAACTTTTCATAAAAAATGATTCTTTTTGTCAATTGGTTTAGTTAAAAATAACACATTAGAGACTCCTTAGACATGATTTATATTGGACAATCTTGTTCTATCATAGTGTATTTTACAGATCTAACCAAGATACGTTAACTAATAGTAAAACAGAGGGATCTTTGACGCTAATATATGTAATCATAAAGTGTTACATAGAATTCTCTAAAATTCATAAAATAGTACCTGAGGGTGGATTCAAAGATCCATTCATATCTCTTGATAGGACTTTCAGAAGGGGCTAAAAATTTGGGTTTGAACATAACTTTTCTCGAGCTTTTGAATGGTATAACTTATTTAAAAATCAAAATTTGTCGTATGCATGCTTGATCAGTAGTCTGATGGATCTTCTCTTAAAATTAAATTTTCTAATATATGATAAAGAAATAGGTCTACATAGGGTGAAAAAATAGTGACTATTGTTTGATTTAAATTTTTCAATTGTAAGATTGTATTAAATTGTTGTTATATATATTGTATATTTGCACATTCACTATTGTTACTGTTGGTATATAATTTAGTTCATTTATAATTATAAATAAATATTTAGTTACATTTTAATCTCAAGGAGGTAGTTTCTTTTTGCACTCCGTACTATGGATATACAAAATAAATTCAGTTGATTACTATTTAAATACAAAATTATAAATAGAAACACAAAATAATTCCATTTTAGATAATTAGCAAAATAATAGTTATTGATACCAATTGTTTCTTTTTGAATTACAAAGTTTCTATTTATTTGGTTATCTACGTCATTCACTAATCTCTACAATCGTACAAGACTGCCCTCTATCGCTCTAAAACAATTTACTTGCCGATAACGATAAACAAATGTTTATTTTCTTGAATCGAAGTCAAAGAGCATATGTAAAGCTTTCAAACTTGAATTACTATTGCCTGTATTAACGTTTGTATTTTTATATGAATCATTCTTTTTTTACTTGTTCTGTTTATTGAGATACTTTCATTTCATTTTTTCCCACTCCTTGTCATTCTTACGTAATTATAGATTGCTTGCAGTTTCAATCGCGCACACAATGTTGCGTGTACTGGTCAGTGGTATTTGGACTACAGCAAATACACTATTAAATCGTAATCAAAATTCATCTAATGAACAGTCATCAACATCTACGTGGCATAAATTTCGTAATTTCATTTTCTCAGCTATTTCTTCATTTGGTATTCCATTTGTTCGATCAATAACTCAAAATGAAACTCTTTATGAATATGTGAATACATGTTTGGGATATTCAACAACAAATCGAAATAATGTTGATCATCGTCAACAACGTAATTCAGGTGTTAATCGGTTATCACGGCCTAATTTTCGTCGACGATCATATCATAATGGTGGTGTTATACGAATTATAAAACCAACAATTAATATTCATATTCATCAGACATAGAACTTTTTATTGTACATATATGAGATATTTAGCTATTGTTTTTTTTTTGTGTATTTTTAGATTAAGATATATTTCTTACGATTGTGAAAGAAAATGGCTCGTGGACATCAAAAGGAATTGGCTCGACAACGTAATGAAAAAAATGGTGGTGCAAATAAATCGACTACACAAAAAGGCACTGCAGGTAAATGAATATATCATACGTAATATTCAAATTTAGTTTGTAAATTCTATTTCAGATGCTGCTTTAACTTATCAATGTTCTGTTTGCAAAGTATGAATAATAGACAAGAAAAGAGACTTTTACAAATTGATATTCTATTTTAGACTAAAATGGGTGATCCAAAAACTTATAAACAACATTTTGAAAGCAAACACCCGAAAAATGAATTACCAGCTGAATTGAAAGATATTGAGGCATAACTGTGTAATCGATTAAAGATGATAATAACTTTATTTTAAATAATAAAAAAACCTACAAGTGTTTTCTTCTAGAAATTCAACTTTTTTTTTTCATTTAACTTTCCTCGTGTCTCTATTATTTTTTTCAAATAAAGGGAAACAAAATTTTTATCATGGGATCATTGAATACAAAGAATAAACAATACAAGGAAAAGTGAGCGTAATCAGAGTGCATTGAACGAATGTTAATAGTGTTTGTCTGTGTCAGGGCATATACTATTGGATTATCAAAGTGATAAATAGAATACTATGGCATAGATCAAATAAAATGGCATGTAAACAGTCGTGTAGAACTAAATCACAGTGATTTTCGATCTTGAAACGATGATCTTATATTGAGCATCGTGTTACAGTTCATTGCAGGTACAAAATGATACTGTATCTGATCATCGTTCATATTTTGTATTCCGTCATATTATTGAAGTGTTTTACATCCAAAGTGTGTTATCATGTAATGTGTATAATCAATAGCACTTGTTAAGTTTTATTTGGCACTAGCATGCTCTTCATGATTCGGTGTCGTTAAGAATCACTTCGTGCTAAAAACATTTCTTTCTTTTTGTTATCTCTTAAAGCTTTTTTTTTAATAATTGTTAAGCCTATATTAACTTTTTTTGAGATATTTTACACATCAATCAATAGCTTTCAATGAGGGCTGTCAGATACAATCAAATATGGTGATTAAAAATGTCTTTGAATTATGTTGTATAGCGGTGAATTTAGGTGGCACTATTAAATCTATATAAAGATTTACACTTTTCTCTATATTTCATATTTGTTGTTTCTTCGTCGCAAGTAAATACGATACCTGGCGAGAATACCTTAGTTAATTTTCAATCACTTAAGAGTAATTTTCAAGTTTCGATGTCACTGTTTTACCAAGCTACTTGTGACTAAATACTTTCCTAATCTATGCTTCAAAAGGCATGAATGACTTCATTATTTTTACGTTTTCTAAGCCTGATGCATAATATTTGGCAGTATTTTCTATTAACAGATGAGGCTATCCAAAGTTTCATATCTGTAGAAAGGCATCAAGAGCGTAAAGACGCTCATTTAAGGATAAATAGAGGAATCTTTACGATCTTTAGCAATATAGATACGATCATATAGAGCTACCTAAGTTTAGTTGTCAAGGAGCTGTTTTCAACTGTTGTAAATGTTGACCTGCATTACATATAAAAAAGACTGTATACGTTGGCAATTGAGTATTTACACAACGAAAACTACGGCTACATATAATTATCTTATTTTTAGCCGTAAACATACCATATACGACACGGCATAAATACGATCATAAAACATAGACTTGGTTTGCGGTAAAATATGGTGTACAAATAGTCCATATACAATTACTATAACAAATTGCAATCTGATGTTTTCTATCAATTGTTGGAATATGTACAATTAATTTATTTAATCACGAAAAAGGATAAATAATTTAGCTGAAGCTTAGCATTATTGAATACGTTCGGTATTTCAATACATTCATTCAACCTTGTGGTTATGTTTACAAAAATTATTTAACAAAGAAATTACATGCATGTCTATATTTTACAATTTCACGTTGGACAACTAATAAAAAGATAAAAGAAAAACACTATGAATCATGTTTATCAGAAATAATGATCGAAACATATTGAATTAAATCGATTCTATTGTTTACAATCTGTTTTTGTGTATAGCTTCACTATTTTCTTATGTTTTTCTGTTCCATAAAGCTAATATACATAGACTTATGTATATCTTTCATCATACTGATTATTTTCATGCTGAACGATCATCGTGCTGAACATTCTTTGTATTTTAATTTTTCGTACTGAAAATACAATGATCATCAAATAAAGCAACTATGGCATTCGCTTTACTGATCGATCAATCAATCATAGCATTGACATCCTATTGTGTTTAATCTTAAATTATTTTCAATACTTAAGTTGGTACTTCAATGAAGAAAAGTTTTTCTTTTATAGAGAATTTATGACAAAAACAATCTTTCATTTCTTTTTTTTTGTGAGTATTTGTTGTGCTTGGTCAATAAAAGCGGCAACAGTTGTAATCATGAATATATTAAACATTTTTCTTTCTCAATTTTCTCTCCGAATCTGTTTGACATTGAAATTTTTCTCGTTTAACAGTTTACCTTAAAACACTTACTGTTAGAAGAAAAAAGTGAGAACAAGTATAAAAAGAAGTCTCCAAGACAGCATTCTGACACAAACATATAGACATCCGGCGAAGAATATAAGTTTTGAGTGTATTGATCAATGCCCCATGATCTGAAAATAAAGTAAAAGAAAAAAAAAAAAGAGAGAAAACTTCCGTTCCAATCATTCATTTTCTCTCTGTTCTGTGTCGTTGACATAATCATTGCCCATTTCTTTTTGTATTTTTGAGACATAAAAAAAAAAAAACGATCAGGTTTAATCAAAATTTACATTAATCAAGTGTAAAGAATAAAACATTTTGTTGTTATTCTTACTTTTATTATTTGTCGTCAACTAACACTATTATCGTCACTTCTCAAATATGAATCGAGTAAGTAGATTTTATTGATAATAGATACATGAAAAGATTTATGAATTAGAAGATTTTCTTTTGACAAATGAAAATATATAAAAAATATTCTATTCTTTTCTTTAGTGTCATAGTAATCTTGATGTGCATCATAGTCGTCATTTATCTTTACATAAACCTGGCTTAATACCAAAATCATCTCGAAATATTTCACCGATTACGCCAAATCGTCATAAATATGAATTAAAACAGAAAATTTGGCCAAAACAAACAGTTGAATCATGGTTTCAAAATCATTCATCTGATGGTAGATCAATTCTAGTTTTCTGAGCTATATTTTAATCAAAAAAAAAAACAAACTTTCTTTAAATTTTTAAGAACGTCGAGCTGTTTATAGTTTTCTTAATACACTTTATGATCATGATGGTCAAAATCAAATAGAAGACCGATCATCAATTGGACGATGTCGAAAATCACCTAGCTTACGATGTCCTAGCGGAGTAAATACGCCTGCTATTCATACATCAAATTATTCATCGCAACAACGGATGTCAAACAATGGTAGACATGAAAGTCGAGCATCGAAACGTGATCTTGGAGAAATTCTTGAATCATTAGAAAGGTAATTGCAATGATGTTTTTACTTATGTTAAATGTTTCTCCATTTTACAAAACTAACATCGATTTTTTTTTAAATGAAGCCATTGGAAATACATACAATGTCAATGTATATAAAATAAGATGAATGAATAAAAAGAAAAGCATACATTTTATTGACTTTGAAATGAATTTATGGCTCAAAAATAGAATATTATTATTATTGCAAGTGACCTTCTAACAGAAATTTTTGAATTAAAAGAAAAACCAAGATATTCATTTGTAATAGGACAAAACTGAAAGCATCCATTAGCGGGCTTCATTGTAAAACAATTTCTGAATTTTAGTTTAAAATTGTATCGAAGGTATGGTATATTTGTGGTGATAATCTCTGATTTAAACAATTGAAGAACGAATTAATTTTGAGCTGCATTGAGAAAAACAAAATTTTGAAATTTTCTTGTTTGATTGTCATCCTCTCTTCGATTAAAACATAGTATGACAAATATATTGAATCTTTGAATTATTGACTTTTTAATTTGCTCTTTGAGAAATTTATTAACAGTACTCTATAAACGAACATACAGTAATCTAACCAATAGTTAATCTTATAGTTAATATGCTGAAATATCGTACTTATGAAAGAAAGTTTAAAAAAAATTACGTTTGAATATCTCGATTGTTTAGATGCCACTATTTTATTCCTAACCACTGTTGACATATTCTAGTTTTCGTAAGTCACCACCATTTCAAGAAAAAGGTATTCAAACATCAGCAACACCAATCACAGTTCCATTACCTGATGTCAATGAAACAAAAAATGGTCGCAAAACCGCAAAACATATAAAACGTTCAGCAACATCATTGGATAAGTATACCGAAACAGTTCAACCTCAAAATTCAACTGATAATAATGCAGATGTAAATGATAATGAAAATAATAAAACAAGCCGACGTTATTTATCTCAAACATGGCGTGTAATAAATCCACGTGAAGATATGGAACTAAATGCTCGTCCTGAAAATAATATATCATCATTTTTTAGTTACACAAAAAAAGTATATCCTGAATATTTTTTTATTCATCCTGATTGGTATTAATCTGAAAAAAAAATAATTCTAAAACTTTATAAACATTTCCATTTTTTATTTGCTTCTTTCTCTTTCTTTTTTTATTGAAAAAAATGAATAAATTTTGAACGAAAGAAAATATAGATTGTTTATAGCATAATATGACAAAGAAGTATCAGATAATTTTGAATAATGACAACCATCATGTGTAATTAGTTCATTTTGATAACACGCTATCAAATTATGGCTGAAAAATATTTACGTTTTTCATTATTTTGTTTAAGTATTGACGTTGGTGGTATGGCGATTGGATAACGATCATATTTTGTTGATTTTACTCGTTGATTATTATCTTGTGGAAATGATAATATTTGATTATTCTGTTGATAATTATTTTCATATTTTGTATGATATTGTAAACATCTTGCTCCTTGATATTCTTGTTTTGGATATTGTTGTCTTTGTTTTCCAGTACAATGAATAGTTATTCGTGGACATACACAAGGGATAATACGTGAAAATTCATGACGCGCTTGCTTATTAAGTGAAAAATAAAATATAAAACTAAAACACATCGATATCATAGATAAAAGGTATAAGAAATAATTAATAAATATAAATCGACGTAAATCCGCATGAACATTATATGTAAATGATGCAATTGTTTGATTGAAATCAAATGGTAATGTATGATTTGATAAAGTTTGTTTTTGAGTTTTTGTTGTCAATTGATAAGCACGATGCCATGTATAAATATTATATGGAGCCCAACAGAGAACATAAAATGAAAGTAATAAAACAAGTAGAACTACTGTACGTTTTGCATTAGTATTTGCTCGTATAGTACTTGCATAATGTAAAGTTGATGATACTGGTGATGCAAAACTTGTTCGAGTTGATGAACGATTTGATGCTGAAGAACTCGATATATTATTTTTTCCAGTACGTTGACTAGCTGTTGTTAATGTGTTGATAACACCTACTGCATTTGCATTTGTATCATTATTAGACATAGTAATATTTCTATTTAGTGATTTTGTACTTATTCTTTTTGATTGTAAGACTTGTGGATTATTCATACAAACATTTTGATTTTGTCCTTGTCGTTTTTTCTGTACTATCATTTGTGAAGCTAATGTACTATTACGGTTCATTAGTAATCTATTAGACGTTTTTCCTTTTGTTAAGTAAAGTCGCTGATGTTTTGCACGTATAAAGTAGATTAATTGAGCATGCAGAAAAAATGAAAATAATAACGGTAATATATAGAAAAATATTAAAAAACTTATTAAAACTCCATGTGTATATTGTACAATACAGATTTTCATTCTTGGCGATGTACGTAAAACATGAGCCTGAAGTAAATTACAAATAGCTATTGGTAAACTACATAATATAGGTAAAATTAATAATATAATTGAGCCTGATTTTGTTGATATTTGGCGACACCATTTTAATGATGATTCATCTGATAATGCATGACCATGAATGTAAACGAAACGATCCAATGCTCCTAATTTAAGGAAAAACAATCCATTTTAGCTTAGATAATTATTTAATTTCTGAACTTTTAACAGATTTTTGTGTTTTTGAAAGAGAAGCTTTTGTCATGTGTATTTTTAATTAGTAATCTATGTATTTAATGATTAATCCTTTGATGACGATAATCTCCCTTTTTCTTATGCTTCCAGTGTCAAAGCATCATTATATGATACCACTGTACACATATCTCAAGTGAAAAAGTAGGAATTGTAGATTCCGAGGTCTATGGAAATTCATGGGCTCTCTATATCTAAAATCGTTCAAAGCCCTACGAAAGCAAACAGAAATCTGTAAAATTGCATTGAATCTTAAAACCATTGTTGCCCTAGAAAATGCCAATTATTGCTCAAGCCTTAGTCTTACAGAAGATCAAATGTTCGATTTTATTAGATCTATATTATGATATGGAACTATTGGGTTATTCATGAAACTTCGCAAGGTTTTGGGCAACTCTATTCGACTCTGTAAGTAGTAAATTGCACGGTGTTGATTGAAGTCTAATGCAATTCGCTGTGTTCCTTTTATGTATATATCCATTTCCAGACTTCTATGAGCCAACCCACATATTTTTTGTTATCATTGCAAAAATTCGGGAACCAAAAGGTTAAAGAGAGAGCATTACAAGACTACTGTAGTCTTGTTTCCGATTAGACAAACATGCTTTGAAAAATAATCATATGCGGACATATGTTAAATTCTACTATATGTGAAGACAAATCAATCTTCTATGATTTACTGCACACAAAAGGAAATTAATTGTCTTCTTAGAGACAATGTATGTCCGCATGGCTTTTTTTTATTATTGTGACTATTAATTGATCCAATTTATACAGGACAAATAATTTAGGGTTCAATGCCATTTCAAAACTGGTCTAGCATATTTTATAATTATACATGTTGTCTATATGTTGAGGTATATACAGAATGCCAAACACATATGCCTAAATGTGAGATAAGAGTCAGACATGTAAGTCAAATACGTGATCTAAATATAAAGCTAATTTTGATATATACAATACGAATTTATTTTTCTACAAAACAACTCTAAAGAAAAATTTCCGTGGTAAACAAATTTTACGACAAATCAATATTTGAGAATGGATTGATGTATAAGTATAGATTAAAAAAAAATTTTTCTAAACTTAGTCTTTTTACTATCATCTTTTTGTGTTTTTTTTAATTAAAACTATCAAGTATGCTATTTTTTGCATAATTATAGCTCGTATTTTCTACTTTTGTACGCTCGCTAATCAATTTTTGTAGAATGATTTCGATTGTGTTACTTATAGCTTTTATTTTTAAGTAAAATCTGAAATTATTATGGAAAAATAAATTTCGTTTAGATCTCTGTCTGTTTCTACTAGATAACGTATAACATGTTGATACCATTTTATTGTTTAATGAGTAAGATAAATTTAGCTTTTATAGTGAAAACTATTTTTCTTCTATTTTTATTTCGTTAAACTGCATTATCATTAACACTTAACAGTATAGAATCTCTTAAATTTTACTTTAATAGTCTACAAAGTATAGTTTTTTTTTCTAAGAGCATTTAAGAGAAATGCGTCTCGTTTATTTAAAAATATCAATTCTTGTGTAGATAATAACACGGTCACGAGTTTTGTAATGTTTTAAGTAAAGACGAAATTTTTTAATCCTGACAGTCGATGTTTTAATTATTCATACTTTGTCTCAAATAAGTGGACACTTCAAGGTCAATTTTATTTTTTTTTATTATTGTTGGATACACCTTCTATGAAAATTATATTTCGAAATAAAAATAGATTTTTAACAGGAAAATCCCTTGACAATGTAATTAAGATGTAAACACAATACGTAATTATTTATGACATGTTTTTTATGCTCAAAGAAACACCTAGACATACAGGAAGAAATGAGTTTTTATTAAATAAAACAACCAAAAATATAAAGAAACAACTTTCTCTATTCATACGTCGATATATAATTCCAAGAGAATTAGAATAATCTTTGATCTGAATAGTTTTCTGCATAATTCGAAATGAAATAAAAATAACAGTTCAGTTAAATAATGAACTATGGATGGTTTTTTTTATTAGTGTTTTAGTTGCATAGAAGTGGATGGAGAACGATTATTTAAGAATTTATAGAAATAATTCATGTTTTTCAGATTGCACTACATCGTTACGCAAACATAATCATTTTCTATGAGAAACTATCTAATAAGATCTTTCTAAAATTAAAATGTAAAACAAATTATGAAATAATGTTATTTTTGTACATAATTAAACTATAATAAAATAAAATTTCAACTTGTCAGTTCTAAAGTTACTACTCATGACAATATCCTAACAACAAAACAAGAGCAAAATTGTAATGTAGTTCAATCGTTGCCAAGTAGCAATCTTCCATGCTTATCATAATCTCCGATGTCTTATTGTCTTGTCCTTTTCATCATGTATGATGATCAATAGAAAAATGTGTAATAGTCAGTAGACAAAAATTAAAGTGTATGGATTCAACTTTTTTTCCTCTTATAGTCTCGTATATTCACGCGAATTATATTTCATAAAGTGTTACCTATGACACACAAGCAAGTACTTCAAAAACAATATTTATAGATTTTCATTTCTATTCAGGATAACAATCAGGCACATATGTGTTCATTCACATGCCACCTTGATTATGTAGGTGGACACTTAAAAAGGAAAAACTCATTAGCACCAGCTAATTCTGACAAAGACCGTAATGTCAACTTTACGTGCACATAAAAGTAAATCTTTATCATCTATTGTATGCATACTTATGAATTCATCATGCAGTGAAGTGTTAATTTTCATGATATATATAAAATAATTTTTTTTATACATGCACAAGTGTAGTTCTATTCTGGTGTAATATTTCCGACATATGAACATTTATTATATCACGCATAATATATTTAATAAATTTTTTTCGTGATTCTGCATAAAAATTGTTCTGATTGGAATCATAGTCATTGATACGTTTTAGATACATGAGTACACTTCAAATATTTTTTGATTGACTGAGTGGTTTTATAAAATAGTTTTTCTTTCTTTTTACTAACAATATTGCTCAAATAAATCAATGACATTGTATATCATTCTTTTCCATAAACAAATATTTAATTTATATTAAGATTTTTCGTTCAATACGCTAAACATAATCAAACAAAGAAAAATAACTATCTTAAATCAAAGTTAACCATTTTTAGTATTTCATTCTAAATGAGCTTTATCAGCATATAATTGTCTAAATGGTTCTGTCTTGTTTTTTCTTTCTAAATAATTATATGGTGTTAATCATGACTTTTTCCTGTTAAATCGAATCGGTTTTTTTTGTTCTCATTTTAATTAAACAAAATAAATATTTGAATTGGTGAATGATGAGCACAGAAAGTAAAGTACAAAAAAACAATCAAGGTAAGCATGATATCTATTAAAAGACTGAGATGTGGATGTGAGTGAAGGATAGATTTACACCATCGAAAAATAAGAAAAAAAATCAACGTTTTAAAAAACATTTATTAAATCTTATTTTCATTCAAATTGATTCAATTGCACACAATATTTCATAATAATTGTTTTTATTAATATATGTGTTTTGTTAAATATAATAATTATTCGTTTATCTGTCAATGGACTTCATATTTAACTTGACCGTTTTGCATGCTTCACTTTTCGCTGCTGAACATTCTCGTACTTATCTTTCCCTTACTTAAGTTTCTGTGCTTATTGTTTTGGTTCCCGAATATTTTTCTTTTTTAATTTAATATGTTCTGTAAGAAATAATAAGATATTCTCATACAATAAAACTGTATTTCTGTGTATAATTAAGTATCTCATTTATGTATAAAGCTTCTGAAACATAACAAATTTGATTTAAGAACAAAGAATAATTTTCCAATTAAATAAAATATGAATCTTTTCTTCGAACAAATAATATTATTCGTTATTTAAAAGATTCATTCATGTGAAACAAATTCAGCTTGTATTGTAATCGGACGAATAGACAAGTCAGAATCTTGATTCATATACCATAACTAAGTCATAAAAAGGAAAGAAAAGTACAAGTGTAGTTTATATAACGGAAGATTGACTATTATTATTCAAGTGCTATAAAGTACTAATAATATATAAACACTGAAATTTTTATACTACGTTAAACAAAACTATTTCTATGTTATATTTGACAAGAAGAAAAACATTCTGATAGCTGACCATGTTGTACTATTTATAATTCATAAGTCAAAAAGTAAAAGACATTTTTCAAATATTTCAGGGTATAAGTATCTAATATATTAAACAAAACAATAAAAGTTACAATGGATAAATGAAATTACTTAATGCAAAATATATGCATTATGTTGAAATTTTCAGTTCTTTTTTTTTATATCAAAGAAGGGATCTATTGATAGAATAAGAAATAGTTGACATACCTAATAAATGATAGAAGATAATACACGATGAAAATAGTGATTCAAAAAATGTATGAAAACGACAAAGCCATGTTTGTGAAAATGAATATGAAAGAAATCGATAAATTTCTGTTGGTGAATCAATTAAAACAAGACAAAGTTCACCTAAACATAAAATGATAATAAGAAAAACAAAAATAAGAAAACATAAACTTCAATAGTCTTTTATACTTAATGCAAGGCATAAAACGATTCTATCCGTTTGTAATAAACGAAAACGTTTTGAATAAATAACTTTGGCTAAACATAAATTTCCAATAATTGATATAAGCGAAACAAATGCAATAAGAAAAACAAATACAAGTAATGAACGTGAACGTTCTTGTATATCATAGGTTTGTTGAGCTTTTTTATTGGATATATCAAATTCATTTGTACTGTTCATAAGACGACTTAATTCAAGAATACACTCTGGCATAGTTTTAGGTAAACGTAATGTTAAATTTTGTCTCGCTAATAATTGTCGTATATATGGTGGTGTTAGTTGTTGATTATTTAAAAACGATGTTCGATTTAAAACAATCGATAGAAGTTGTTCACATTGCATAATTAATGTTGATGAATAAGACGCAAACAGAAATGAGGAAACATTATTTGCTTTTAAATTATTTTCGACACGCATTATTTCTTCCATTAGCAATGATGAATGATAATTACTTAATGATAGAAAAATATCAAAGAGAATGAAAGAAATCTACTTAGAATATATCTAAAATAGAAAAAATAATGACATGAAAAAGAATATATCAAATTGAATGACTGTCTTTTAGTAAACAAATAAGCACGCATATCTACTTTGATGCTTGTGCTTGAGGTAGGTTTTACTAATGACGTAACTATGATTAGGCGAAGACTCCTTGAGTGAATACGCATCGCTTGAACAGTCTATGTAAACTCGAATATTATTTGGTCACTTGAGGCATCTTCGCCCAAGCACTGCTTGTGCCACTAGTTCTTATATATATATACCTTGAAGGCCGGATTATATTTCTCTCACCTCCATCTCTTAATTGTTTTTATCGTTCATTGCATGTTACTCCATGTGGCAAATAAAAGCGAAATGAACCAACCACTTTTCCACAAGATCTACATCTGAGAAAAAAAAAGTTAACAAAAAAAAAAATTGTAATTTTGCCATTTGTGATCATGCGCATATTCATTTACTGAAATATTTTTTCTTTTCTTATTTAACAATTATCCAAATAGATTTTTTTGAACTCACAAACAAAAGAATTCTCTTGTCTACTCATATATGCAAATAAAGAAAAAAAAAGTGACATAATTTGTAGAGCGTTGTTGAGTAGATAAGTACTGTGCTTGCTCAATAGTAATTATTATACATACTGCGTTTTAAAGATTTTCATTTGTTTTGACAGAAATAATTTGAGAAGTAGAGGGATAAATATTTTTTCGTGATGATTAATAGAAAACAAATAATAGAAAAAATGAAGAAAACTTGACATTACTTTTATTCACTTTTATTTTTTATATAAAATAATCTACATACGAAGGAGATACACATTAACAACGGCAAGGATCTGGAAGTGACTTTGCTCGAACATTAAGTATCTCTTGTGAATAATGTCACAATCTATATGTCAACTTGTCAATCAAAAAAAAAACCACTAACTCATATAATAATTTATTCATAATCTTTATCTCCATGAAGATTTCAGTAGCACAAAAAATTTAGCTAGATCAACATCGGAACGAGATGATGTAATTTACCTCATGACACAAATCGATGAGATAAGATGATTAAATTTATACTACTCCCAACTAATAAATGCACTCGAAATTTTATCATGAGCGCCTAAATATAATTCAATATGAACTACTCATTAGTAAAAAAAAAATGTCATTGCATGATATGATCTTATCTCTTTCTTTTTCTATTTCGTCATTAGTCGACGAAAAAGAAAATAAATAAGGGCAAAAGCACTTTTCTGAACATCAATCAAAGATTCTTTTTTCTTTCTCTTTTGTCCTAACTTAAATTAAAATGTTTGTTATTACAATATATAGGAGATTTATAATAGTTGATATTAACTTCTATTTTAGACATATGTTGTTCATAGTTCTATTCTAAAAAATAAAGACAATATGATTTAACTCTATTTTCTATATTTACTAACAAACATAGAAACATATTTAGCTATTCTAACCATAAACTACATTGAATAAATATTAGTTCGCTTCAGTAATGCATAAAATACCTAATTAGTAAAATGTTTTTCTTAATAAATCAACATTTTTTTCCCACCGGAGATATGATTTTTTTCGTATAATTAATATTTTAGCTAATTCACTTATCTTTTATGCGTTGTTTGACGTAAACAGGAAGATCTTGTTTGTAAAACTGATGAAAAAAATACAATTCAATTCAATGTATTACTACACGCGTAAAAAAATTGTGGTTCAAATGAATATGAGATGCCAATAATTTTAATATAAAGTAGTATTGTTTTAAATAAAATTTTTACATGGTTAGAGAGTCCATCGAGCTCTACGAGAATATTTATATTGAGAAGTTTTTTAAACTTTTCTTTCAAATTAAATTTAAGAGCAAAAAACTATCAAAATCAACATGCAGAATGGTGCATTTTCTGCTTTGGAGAAGATAAGATTCTGACAACGGAAAATTTGAGTGGATTTTTTTATTCATTTTCTATTTCAGGTGTGTTGCTCTCTCGTTGAAAAAACTTCAATAAGTTACTAAGGTTAGATGTACCAATCAAATTCTCTTGTTTCTCTAAAAAAGATTTCAACTCTTTTTTTGTTATCTATATTTTTTAAACTCTCTGAAAGGTTTTTATTTTAATTCGGTATAAAAAATTGGATAGTAAAATATTATCTGCTTAGACTTAATAACACTGCAGAAAAATTATCTATAATAGGTAGTCTAAGAACATCTCTCTATAGGTGTTTTTTTAAATTTAATCTAGTGTTTAGTGTAAAAGATAGGATCAAATATTTTATGCTTGTGGAATCATCAGCTCTCGAGCTAGTGAAATATTTATTAAATTTTGTTTTATTGTTGAGAACATGGAACAATGTCTTATTTTGATGACAAAAGGGTCAAAAATAAATTTATATTCCACAGTTCTTCTCTTATCACAACTCAATTGAAAAGCAAAATAAATAGTCAGTTCGCTATCAACATGAAAAACTACATTCGAGCTCATATATTTTAGTAAAATCTCTGGCAAAAAATGCTAATGGGAGTAAAGATGCGGTACTTATGGTAAACAAATTTCATTAAAATATATAAGCTCGGATGTAGTTTTTCATGTTGATTGTGAACGTACTATGTATTTTGCTTTTCAATTGAGCTATGATGAAAAAAAATTGTAAAATACATATTTATTTTTGATTCTTTTGTCACCAAAATAAGACATTATTCCATGCTCTCAACAATAAAATAAAATTTAATAAATATTTTACTAGCTCAAGAGCCAGTGATTTCACGAGCATAAAATCTTTGACCTTATCTTTTACACTAAAGATTAGATTAAATTTAAAAAACACCTATAGAAACATATTCTTAGGCTACCTATTATAGATAAAAAAAATTTTTATAGTATTATTGAGTCTAAGCAAATAATATTTTACTATCTAATTTTTTATGCCGAATTAAAATAAAAATCTTTCAGAGAGTTTAAGAAATATAAATAATAAAAAGTCGAAATCTTTTGAGAAAAAAGTGATTCTCATTCATACATCTGACCTTAGTAACTTGTTGAACTCTTTTCAGCAAGAGAATAATACAATTGAAATAGAAAATGAATCTTCGTAACTAGCTCGTCATGTTCTCTGAAACCCCATGTATAATAAAATGAAAAACTAAAATCTACTCAAATTTGGTGTCGACAGCACTTTATATTTGAATACTGATTTCGAATGGGATAATTAGTTTTTATCAAAGTCAGCTCTCAACAATCTCAAACTTAAAATAGAACCCATTTTTGCGCTATTTTACCAACATTAACGGAAAAATGCATCCTCTCAACCATGCTAATCTTTCTCAAAAAGTGTGTATAACTTTTTCTTGAGTGTCATGAGGAATAAAATAAAAACAAAAGACTATAGAATCTGGGGAACGTGAAGCTTTCATGGAGTTTATCAATCTCTTTTCTTTTGGAGAGTCTTTTGCCTGAATTCGGTGCTTTCTTCGTCATATCATATTTTAACAGTCTTAAATAAAAAGAATGACCGATCCGTTTGTTCTGGTTTCAATTATTTTTCAGAAATTTTACTTCAAAGAAAAAGTTTGAAGGTCTTTTAATACATATATTCTTACAGAACTCGACAAACTCTAACCATGTAAAAATATTACAGACATAAAAACTGCTGGATTTTTAAATTATTGACATCCTAAATAATGATTAAATATTATCTTACTCACAGACTTCTATTGCTTAAGATGGAATAATCAGCAAAATAAAAACTTCAATGTTGTATAAGTTAGCTAATAAGCGAAAAAACGATAAGAGAATCAATTATTTTTATACTATCATATGGTCCTTTGTTTCTTCTTTGTTTTGATTGTTTTATTTTCTCGAAATAATAGGTTTTCTTGATATTCATCTTCATCTTTGTTTTTGCCATAATAAAATCAATCACGCATCCTATGATATATCAGTTATATTGAAAAAATAAGATATTATATATAAAGATTTACTTTTTTCTCCTCTTATTACTTCTATTTTTTCTCATGATAATGAATCACGCACAATATGATGAATAAAAAAAGACGTAAAAGAAACTCCCACATATTAATATATTTTTAGAAACAACAATAACAACAATAAGCATATCTATGTTCTACAGTAAAGAAAACTCAGCAATTTTAAAAGGCAGCTATTGCATAAGACTTGTTGGTACTGCTTGAATAATAGGTTAACCTGTAGTTGAATAAACTTGTTGAGGTTGTTGAAGAGCTACCTGTTGTGGACCAATCACTTGTCGAATAATACGAACACCTTGAGGTTGAACAACATTCTAAAAATAAAAATATAATATGCCATAAATTTATTGTAAAAAATTACTTTTATCTATTCATAAATAGAAACACTCAGTGTATAAGTGAAAAAAAAAGAAATTTAGGTCAAAAAAAAATGTCAAACAAGTAATTTAATTTGTCAGGCATGCATTCATCTGCAAAATTCAATTTTCAGATAGGACTGTTGTTTTTTCTTTCTTTCCATTAATACAAATCAAACTATTTTTCTTTTAATGCAATTCATCTGACATAGGAATTTGATTAATTATCATTTATTGCATGACGAGAACAAAAAAAAAGTTTTTTCCATTGCTTTATTTTTCTCTCTCAATGTCATCTATGAATAGTAAATTGATTGTACGTGCGTCTTTTTTTTAATAGACAAATATTATTATCATAGGTTGTTATTTTTTTCTTGCATGAAAGTAAAACTAACTTGTTGTGCACCAAATATTGGTACTAATTGTTGAACACCTTGTGATTGAGTTGTTGCTTGCTGTTGTGGCACACAAACTACAGTTGGTTGAGCTATTCTTTGCTGTTGTGATGCACAAACTAAAGTTGGTTGAGCTGTTGCTTGTGGTTGTGATACACAAAATACAGTTGGTTGAGCTGTTGTTTGCTGTTGTGGT